TATATATATATATATATATATATATATATATATATATATATATATATATATATATAGACAACACACACACATACGCACACACACACACGCGCGCACACACACACACACACACACACAGCAACTCCTGGGCAGGACGGGCACTCCGAAGAGTCATCGTGCTTAAAGCGGTGTAGATACTCTCGAAAACACCCATGTCCCGACAACATCTGCGTAAGATGGTAATTGACCCCACCGTGATTCCGGTTAAGCCAAATGTCGATCCGAGGTATGAGACGGTGCGTCCACCTACCCTTCTCTGCAGCATCCCATTGTAGTTGACATCGGCCTATGCTCTTCTGTCGTTCTTCAATTCTGTTCTCCAGGACTCAGTGCAGTTGACCTTTTTCGTTGGTAAAGGGCCCGTCTTTTTTCTGCTAGAATTCTAAGAGGTAGAGTCCCAGCAATGACGCACACTGCTTCTTCTGATATAGTGCGGAAGGCACTAGCTACTCGTAGGGCACTTAGTCGGTATATTGGTCCAGCTTTTCTCCATGATTCTTGGGTTTCCAGTGCATCAGCCCAAATGAATATTCCGTAAGTAAGCACTGATGTGACTACTGATGACAATAATAGCCTCCTGCTCTGCATTGGGCCTCCGATGTTAGGCATCAGCCGTGCGAGACTAGCCCTCACTACTGACGCTTTGGCACTGACATGTTCCACCTGCTGCTTGAAGTTGAGTCGTGCATCCAGCATCACTTCCAGATAACGGATAAATGGTTGTGATATGATTTCTTGCTCTCCGACTCTCAACTTAATGGTTTCTACCGTTTTTCTGCTGGTGATGAGCACTGCCTCGGTTTTATGCTTGGCCAGTTGCAAGTTCGTCATGTCCATCCACAAATTGACTCGTCTGAATGTAATATCATATGCCAGTTCTATCTCTTCGAGGTGCTTTGCGACGATCACGACAGCTACGTCATCCGCATATGCTACAAGTTTGACTCCCGTGGGCGATGCTATTCTCAGGAGGCCATCATATATGATGTTCCATAGCAGAGGACCTAAGACTGATCCCTGTGGCACTCCTCCGGAGATTTTGTACAATTCCGTACCGTTCTTCGTGTCATATTACAGGACCCTATTCGTGAAGTAGCTCGCTACTATTCTGCGAAGGTATCCTGGTACGTTTTTTTCCTCTAGAGCCCGCATAACACAGTCCCAGTTAGCGGAGTTGAAGGCATTCTTGATGACCAAAGCAGCCACCAAGCAGTATTTCTTCTTTCCACTCTTCCATCTCGTTCCAGCGATTGCATCCTTGGCTGTATCAACAACCAATTTGATTGCATCCAGAGTTGACCGTCCTTTTCGGAAACCGAACTGGTTCTCTGCCAGAAGTGGATCGACTAAAGCCTCTATTCTCTGATGAATTATGCGTTCAAATATCTTGCTGGCCGTATCTAACATGCAGAGTAGTCGGTAGGATGATGGTTCTTCCGGCGGCTTTTTTCCCTTCAGAAGTAACACTAGCCGTTGCTGTTTCCACTTCTGGGGCAAAGTCCCTTCCTTCAGGCATGTATCGTAGACGTCCAGAAATAATGTCGGTGCTGCCCTAAGGATTGATTTCAGAGCAATATTAGGGATTCCGTCCAATCCCGGTGCCTTATTATTCCCTACTCGATTGCTTGCCTCTATCAACTCATCCAACGTGATAGTTGGGATGTCTTCTGGGTTGAGCTGCTCCAACTTGTAGGTGAATACCGGCTGTTGGGGAAACAGCGCAGTAACAATCTTCTCTAGGAGCTGTGGACACGTAGGTGATGGCATTGGCTGGCATTTCAGGTGGGTCATAACCACTTTGTACGGTCTGCCCC